AGCCTGCTTCTCCCTCTCCCACTCCCCCTGCTTGTGTTCCCTCTCTCGCTGTGTCTCTCTCTGTCAAATAAATAAATAAAATCTTTAAAACAAAAATAAAATATACAGTTTGTTATACATTATACTGATATAAAGGATGTGTAGCATACAAAAACTTTTTTTTTAAGCATTTTCATTACGTTTCAAAAACAAATGAACAGCAGTAACCCAACAATGGATTCCTTAGACGTAATTTTAACTTTCTATCAACAAAACAAATTACTCAAGGTCTAAAAAAATTAGTCTCTTTTGCCCTACCTCTGTCAAAATGAGAGCAAAACCCACTGGGCACACTAGCAACAAACACACATAGATTATTGGTCCTAATTAAAAATTTTAGGCTTATTTAATCATTCTTCTAGAATATTTTTAACTCTTCTGGTCTAAAAGCAGTAACTCTGACCTGACCTGGAGATTGGAGTGGGGTGAGGGTTGATCTCTGGTTTCTAGAAATGCACGTTTATTTACCTGAAAGAAAATAGGTGGTTGAATTTAGACCTAGAATTTAAACCACATTTTGTACTTTCAGTCTCTATATTCTTTGTGATACAGTACATACCATAGCCCTATCGTTTCTACTTAGTCCTTTTTAAAAGAAAGTCAAATATGCTGTTTCTTCCTCCAAACTAATAAATTCCTTGGCCTCAGTTACCTTAGAGTCCTAGATATTATGGCCTCTTTGCAGTATAGAGGTATTAGTAAAAATATAACATGACCCTCCTTGTCTCTCTCCCTCCTTTCGATTATAAGTAACTTGGACCCACCATTTTCTTTGCTGATAATTTATGCCTGCATTAAAAAAAATACACAAGCCTTTAAAAAAAAGACAGGAAAGAATTCTTTGCATCAGTATCAGAATACCTAGAATTACTATGCAGCCCATCCATCAGTTTTTCAGAAAGTTAGCTTGCAAACAGTTATATCCGCTTTGAGACACAGTCCTTTTGGAATAATTTCTTAAGGAAAAATGAAAATTTTAAATTAGTTCTGAGATTTTTTTTTTTCTATTTATGGTTATTAAGTTGAAGAAAGCTTTAAAGTAGTATTAGTACTTGCAGCTTCGATTACCATAGGTATATACCGGTTTTCCACTCCAGTGGTGGTTAATATGTTTCTTGGGTAGTATGCGTCTAGAAAAATGTTAGGGAACAGGAGTGATTCCTCTTGCTAGGTTGGGGTGGCCACTGGAAGAGGGGACATTAAGGAAGGTTTTTTTGTTTTTTGGGAGGTTTTTTTTGGGGGGAGGTTGGTGCTTTTTACTGTTACTGTTTTGTTTGATCTTGGTGCTAGTTATTACTGTTTATGTTATTTTGTGTGAGATCTATTTTAATGAAAGCAGTAAGGAAATTAAGTAATTTTTAACAAGATAACCCCCCCAAAATTAATTAAGGAGGATTGGCCTTTTTTCCCTAAAAATGAAAGTTATTTCTAATAATTGTACCTTCAGAAGAAAATTCAAGCATTTTTTAATTATAGAAACCTAACCTCGACCTCCTATCTTCTTTAAGGAATTGAAAACCATACTCTCATACAGTAAAAATAGAGGAGTGTGTGCCCTTCTTATCACTAATCTATCCAAATACACTTGTGGTCCTAAAAGGACTTGATGTTGGAACAGTGCACAAGTAAAACATCAGTTAAATGATTTCTTTGTTCTTAAATTATTGTATTTGTCAAAGCTGTCCTTGGGTAGTATTCACTATTAATAAAATCTGCCCACCAAAAACATTGTCTACTTGGAGCTTTTTTGGGGGGGGGGCACCATTCCCATTCCCCAGGTCTGTTGTTTATTCATTTCTTTTTTATTTTAAGATTTTATTTATTCATTTGTTAGCACAAGCAGGGGGATTGGCAGGCAGAGGGAGAAGCAGACTCTCCACTGAGCAAGGAGCTCCATGTGGGACTCACTCCCAGGACCCTGGGATCACCACCTGGGCCAAAGGCAGATGCTTAACCGACTGCCCCTGTTTATTAATTTTTTACAACCCAGCTCAGATGTTACTTCCCTTGTAAGCCTTCTTGCTACCAAATTCTCCCTCTTCCTCTGTGCCGCAGATTATCCACTCCCCTGTGCTATTTTTAAACCTTTTACAAGACATTTTTATCACATCTGTCAGACCCTTTATAGGCGTTCTTGACCTTTTTTTGTGCTGTGGGCATTTGGCAGTATGACAAAGATTAGAGATGCTTGAAGTAATTCATAACTTCTCTGAATAATGTTTTAAATGCAGAAAACATGTAAGATTACAAATGGGACTGGGGCGCCTGGGTGGCTCAGTTGGTTAAGCGACTGCCTTCGGCTCAGGTCATGATCCTGGAGTCC